ACGCGATTTTTCACATTCCCTTTTGGAATTGCTCGTTTCATTTACACACGGCGATTTGTGTGTATGCAATTGTTGTTGTCAGCTGTGAACAGCTTTTCAATTTACACAGACGAACGAGAGCACAAACGTGTTACCCGAACACGAGCAACCCGGTGCCCCTCTCCTTTCCTCGTCACGCTCTCTCCTACGAACGACGAGTTGCGGCAACAAAAATCGCCGTGTATAAATGAGCACTTAGTAGACTTGCGTTCGGTAGATTTGCGAGGTACCGGTATTCGACTCCCGAAAACTGGTGGCGTTGCACACATACATATGTGTTTACATATGTACATACTAGGGATGTTGCGAATGTGGAATTTTAGACATCCGCGGATGCGAATGCGTATGCGGATGTCATGTATTTTTAAGAAATAATTTAGGTGGGTAAGTTAAGTGATTTAGGTAAATAAAAAATGGAAAGGTTAATAATTTTTAATAATCTGCCTTATCCTGAGTTTTGCCCGAAAAAAAATTCACCCGAAAATTTGTATTCCGCCCATAACAAATATGTACATGAAACCCATAAGTGAAAGTGAACCGGTTCGGGGGAAATTAAACTCATGATAAGACTGAATGTCTTTTTAGTACTTGAATTCAAAAATTGGAACATTGTACTTAATAAAAACTTTTTGAAGGGTCGTAAATGAAACCTGCGCCACTATATAACTACTCGCTCGAGGCGATAAACTTGAAAAACTTGAAACTTGGCAAAATTGTAAATTCTTTTCGATTGACACTGCACCAGTTGAGAGGACTTTCAGTTATATTTATTTATATTTATTGCGGTGCAATAATTACTTTTTGAGAATTTTATCGGGGCTGCAAATGTCGGATGTATCCTCCTGACTTTCATCTTCACAATCTAGCATCATGGCACAATTGTTGTTTCAACACCGTTTTTTTCGAAAGAATTCTTCATTCTCATTATTTTTGGTTGTTTCGGAATTTGTCACGTCACGTTTTTCGATTTTAGTTTTTATAACTCATTTTTAATTCTTTCTTCTGTGACTGGTTAGATATACGTCTGTGTCTTGCACAATGTTCCAGGGACCGAAAATAACAGTTATTTTTTTCCGAGTTAAATTTGGCCTAATCTTTTTTATTCCGAAATAAACGTCCTATCCGGATAATAAAGAAACCGCTTATCCAAATTAAACAAATTTGGTATCATATGAAAGACTGAAATAGCTTTTAAACAGAAATAACTAATGAAGGTTACCACCTCTATTTATATTTTTTTATAACTTAATACTAAAGAAATTCATTTAAATACATACCTGACCCTAATTTGGATAAGCGGTTTGTTTACTATCCGGAAAGTACATTTATTGTGGAATAAAAAATATTTGGCCAAGTTTAACTCGTAAAAAAAATAACTGTAATTTTCGGTCCTTTCAATATTCGCATTCGCAAAATATCCGCATTAATTTTTGCGAATGCGAAAGCGAATGCGAATGTTAAAATTAATGCGGAAGCTCCGCGGTTGCGAATGCGAATGCGAATATTCGCAACAACCCTGGTACAAACCAGGGATGTTACGAATATTTGCATTTTAAGCCCTCCCTTCAACATTGGCATTTTTCGCGAATGTGTACATGATATTGTTGAATTGACTTGCAAATACGCGCTGATCAGTTCAGAAATAAAATGTATTTGTGATTTGCTTCCCTGAACTGAGATGACGTGAGTTGAAGTGACTTGAGGTAAGGTAATTGAGTTGAGTTGGGGTGAATTGAGGTGTGGTGAGTTGACGTGAGGTGAGTTGAGATGAGTTGAGGTGAGGTGAGGTGAGTTGAGTTGAGGTGTGGTGAGTTCAGTTTAGGTGAAGTGAGGCGTTTTGAGTTTTTCGATCTGCCAAAAAAAAATAAAACTCAAAAGTTAATTTATTTTCTAAGAGAAAAAATAACGCTCAAGGAATGAGTTTTATTTTCGTTCAAAATAATAAAACTCAAAGAATAATCATTATTTTTGATGAAAAAAATAAAACTCAAAAATAATGATTATTTCTGATCAAAAATATAAAACTCATAATATAATGATTATTTTTGATCAAAAAGAAAAAAACTCATAAAATAATTATTACTTCAGAGCAAAAAAATAACACTCGAAAAATGAGTTTTATTTTTGATCAAAAAGATATACATAACTCGATATATGATGTTTTTTTATAGCGATTAATTTAAAATCGAAATGTTATTCTTTGTTATACTTTTTATAGATATCGCTCAAAAATTTTGAAATCGTACGAGATTCATACAGAGCATGAAAGAACTTGCACATTTATATACTCGAAATTTTTCTACGATATTTTGACTCTTTTGATTTTTTCATTGAAATTTGTCAAATAATCATTATTTTAGGTGGTTGTAAAGCTCATACAGCTCAACGTTACATCGTCTGCGGTATTCGCCATCGCCAACGCGTAAAGGTCCGTAAATCTGTCGCAGAATCTTTCTTTCGAAAACTCCAAGAGCCACTCCATCAGATGTTCTCATTGTCCATGCCTCCGCGCCATACACCAGCACAGGCATATTGAGTGACTTATAGAGTGTGAGCTTTTTTTGTACGACGAGGGAGGACTTTACTTCTCAGTTGCCTACTCAGTCCAAAGTAGCACTTGTTGGCAAGAGTGATTCTCCGTTGGATTTCAAGGCTGACATTATTATTGGTATTAATGCTGGTTCCCAAATAAACGAAGTCGTCTACTTTTTCGAACTTGTAACTGTCAACAGTGACGTGGGTGCCAAGACGCGTATGCTCTGATTGTTTGTGTGATGACAGGAGATACATCGTTTTGTCCTCGTTCACCACCAGACCTATTCGCGTTGGCTCTCTCTCGATAATATCGATGTCGTCGGCATAGTTTTTAATTTTTATTGGCGGCCGCTGTGGTGTAGTGGTTAACAGTGCGCGCTATCACTACACAGAGCCTGGGTTCAAGCCCGATTCAACCCAACATCAAAAAATAAAAGCCAAAAAAGGTTTTTTCTGATAGTGGTCGCCTCTGGGCAGGCAATGGCAAACCTCCGAGTTTCTGCCATGAAAAACAGCTTCTCGTAAAGATACAATCGCCGTTCGGAGTCAGCGTAAAACTATAGGTCCTTGCTTTTTGTGTAACAACATCAAGGCGCGCCCCAATATTCGGAGGAGAAGCTCGGCCAAATACTTATGGCGTTTTCACTCTCGAAAAAAATTTCACCTTATATGGCAACATTATCAGAGTGCAACATTTTAAAGAAAGAGCACGCAATATGCATGTGAAGATGCCGAGAAAGGAACACGAAAACTTGACAGCCCTGTCGCAGGGCAGAATAAATGCAACATTATTTCGAAAAAAGAAAACGCTATAACGCTGTTTTTTTGTAAGTATAGCTCACTGTCTAACAAAACCCATACTAATAAATCCAAATTTCCAAGTTTCATAAAAATATCACGATTTTTATTCAGAATTCGTAGACATTTTTTGGGTAAACATTTTGTAGGCCGTTGATTCTAGTACAATAAGGTGCAAGTTTGAAGTATCTAAAAAATACCATTGGTTTTTTGAATTTTTTTGTTGATGGTGTTGCGCACATTCTTCCATATAACAAATGTTCGCATTTTATTTTATATAGAAGAAAATGCGCAACACCATTGTTGATTTTTTTTTTGATTTTTGAAATGTTGGTTTATTTTTGTTATACAATGGGCTAAAATAAATATTATTTTAAAAATATAAAAAATAAATAAAACACATGACCCAAACCGGGCAATATTTTGTTGCGGGATGTAGTTTTATAAATGTGGAATTTAATGAAGGGATCTCAATGATAAACTATATTCAAGGCACATTAAGGAGGTAGTAGCATAAGAACAAAAACAACTCTTAAGTTATTTTGTTGTTCCTTCCTTTCTCTAAAGTGTCAAAAAAGCATTCTGACTTTTTTATGATCAAAGCAGGGACGGTTATCATTGTGAGTAAAATAATTTAAGTCAACATTCAATCATTATTTTATGATTTTCATTTGTTTCGCATAAAAATAATAATTATTATTGAGTTTTATTTTTCGCCCAGAGATAATAATTATCGAGTTTTATTTTTCCAAAAATGATTATCTCTGAAATTTAAAAGGCCATACAGACGCAACCAACTGAAATTTTGACTTGCAAATGTTGGGATATATTCCTTTTAATAGGATTTCGCTACCTCTGAAGAGGATACGTCGTAAATCATTGTGGTATAGCTTTGGAGTTTTTTGAATTTGGAATAATCATTATTCTTAAGTGGAAAACTAATAATAACTACGTATTATCTTTGAGCGAAAAAAATAAAAATCATAAAATAATCATTATTTTCGATCGAAAACCCAAAATCGGGCAATAATAATTTCCTTTGAGCGAAAAAATAAAACTCAAATATTATTATATTTAATCCTTTTTGCTTAAACTCGAGACATTAAAAACATTGTAAATTGCAGTAGGACGCACGAAGAAAAATACGTCAGTATGGTTAAAACGATTTTGTAAAAACAAATTAAAATGATTTGATATTTTAGAGACCAAATATAAAAAAAAAAATCATATGCTCTACAGCTACTTCCTGTTCAATATGCCTAGGTTACGTTAAATTAAGTCTTACCCAATGAATCTGTACAATGAATTGAACAATAAACACACTGCAGTAGACAAAAATAGTAGGACTGTTCAGGATCTTGTGCATATGCTCTTTTATTTGCATTTGTAAATTCACAACAATAAAATATAGACGGTTGCCGTGGTAGAAAACATAAAATTTGCAAATACAATACCAATTGCAAGACCAAGACCATTTCCACAACATCCTGAACAACCCTAGTGTTTTTTTCGGGTACGGGAAAAGAGAGGTAATGGCATTGACGGAAAAAGTGAAAAGTACAATTGAGCTTAAAAACGTTACACTTTATGTCATTAACTTAGTACAATTAAAAAATCTCAAATATTAGCACTGCCGCCAACTGGTATGATGTTACTAGTATTTCCACTGCTAGGTGCTGATTCATAGCGGGAAAATTCCAATTTCCTAGGACTTAGCCGTGGTGAAAATACAAGTTGGTAGCAGGAAGAAGAACGAACTACTATGTCGTTGAGCTGAAACGCAAACTGGTAGTATTCTAGTTCACAACTACCCTGCAGAAGAAACTTATGAATTGATAAAAAATAACCCACTTGTAGTTAGCTTTTTTGCGGGTAAAATGTATAACTTGTAGTTAGCTACAAAAGCTAACTTGAAACTAGTTGACAAGTAATGCAGGAGATAGTTCTCTTTAAACGCGTTTCTATTTAAATATCCTGCACTTCTCAAATACTTTTTTGAATTCAGGACAAATAAAAGGTAGATCGAAATTTCATATTATCATTTTGAAATTAGGTCTGACGAAGTTCCAATATGAGACCACCTACAGCAGAATATGTAAACAAATATGAAATGCAATAAAATAAATAATAAAATATTTTGTTTTTCCTATTGATATTTTATGTCCAAAAGTAGTTAGTTACAAGTTAGTTGCATGAAACGCAGAGGTAACCAAACTTTCACGGCCATCGTCATATAAATATAGTTAGCTTTCGTCAAAGAAAGTATACAGATAATAGTGCTCCTTCCTAATCAACTTAAAGTTAGCTTATAGTTAGATACATTTCCTGCAGGGCTGCAGGTAGCTTTCCCTGCAGAATATTTACACACATACATATGTACATATATGTATGTATAAGCTACATTGAAAAAAGAGTCAGCTGAAAATATTTCCCCCAACACAAGGTTTGTTAACTATAACCATTTGGTACTATTACCAAATCATGATTGACAGAAACACAAGGTGCATTCTTTTGCATCAAAGCTACAATAGAACACTCGGTAAAGTAACGAAACACATACCTACAAAGCAACAACACAAATTCGGCTATTTTTCCGAGTTCAGGTTGGTTAATAAATACGCGACCCGTTGCGTAGTGTTTTTAAGCAAGAAAACACTACTCTATTATGCATTTTTTATGAGAAAGTGCTTAGGGAAATTTTTGGTTTCCTTGTGTACATACTTGATTTATACACCCAGAAAAAAGGCGGGTAAAAGTATTTCTCTCAACACATGATTTAATAACTACCTATAACTTAATAATGTAACTATAACCAAATTACATATGTGTTGAGAGAAATATATTTAGCTGACTTTTTTCTGGTGTATATTAGTCAAATACATATATATAAAGATTACTCAAATGCCTCCCAAAATTACACATTTTAATTGGTTTTGTGCATAAATCCCAATAAACTAATCACACGTTTCTTGCTAGATACTAACAGGGTTGCTTAAGTAGCTAAAAAAAATTTACCCGAGTTGAGCGTTCTTTAGCCACTCGTTTACAAAGAAACGAAGCTATATTTGATTATTGGTTAGTTGACGTAGTTAAAATGTTTTTTCAAAATAGTATATGAACATACAAGCACAAATGCGTACATATAAGTAAAAGTCTGGCCATTTTTAATGCACTCATGCGAATAAAAATACAGATTTTTATCTTATGTTTTGACTTAAATTAAAAAAAAATTACAATTAAAAACACTATTTATAATTTTACTTTAAAGCAAAACTTAAACCAGTGAATTATTTTTAACACAACCATATAATCGTTTTTTTACTGCAGCACTTAAAACAGAATATGCAACTTTCTATTTACTTATATTAAAATTTTTACATATTTTTAACTACTTTTACTTTATGAGATTCTTCCTATAGTACAAGGTTTCCAATGGCAACAAAAAATGTGCAATTTTTGTTTTATGTCTTTTGTTATATACATACATATCGCTCATTTATTTCAATACTGTCATCACTAAAAAAAACCAAAAACTCAAAAAAACACAGCTTTAAAGTTTTGAGTTGATATGCATGTACATACCCCCATAGTAAAAATGAAGATAGACTTTCTTTTAATGAGCTATTGTTAACTGATAAAGCTATGAAATTTTTACACAACATACATAGAAGAACAGGTAGCGGTAATTTCTGCATAGTCGATTTTGTATATTTCGTATAGTGTGTAGCTATTAAAGTAAATGAGCGATTTGTAAATATTGGGAAGAGAACACTGAAATTGTGCCGGAACATGTGACTTTAATATTTTCACCAAAAAACATGTATAAGATGTCGCGCCCTAAAACGGCATTTCCACGTGACCGAATTACGAACGGCGAATCAACCTGCTTACACGACACGTTCCTTGATTCACTTTGCAACTCTGCTTCTTGTTTTTTGCTTTTCTTTATTGTTTAATGTGTTGTTTATTGTGCATTTCAACGATGGAGAAAAAATGTGTAGTGGTTAATTAGCTAAATCAATAGTTTTAACGAATCTAGCTATTTTTTCAATGTTTGTGTTCGTGGGGATGTGTGTGGTGTATGTGTTTTGACAGCCGTTATCGATAAAAATTAGAGAAGACAACGATTTGTTCTTGATTCGCATGGTGATTGGATCTGAATCACCTACGAATGAAGTGGTTCGCTCTCAAAATGTTGTATGGCGAATTACGTGATTCGGTTCGTAATTGGGGCGCCAATCACGAATGAGAGAGCGAATTACGAATGGGAGAGCGAATCACTTGCCCTGGAAACATCGTTTAAGTCATGGCTCCGAAATGGTTCATTCTGAAATTATGTACACATAATGTATTTCTCGCTAGCTTTGCCATTTACGCTTTCATGTTCGCTTTCATTAATTTCGAAAGGTAGCGCATATGTACATTAGGGTGGTCCAAAAATGCATGTGAAAAAGTAAAGTCAGAATTTTTACGCTCTCACCCTCTAGGATTGTTCCATACCGAAAAAAGTATACCCTTATTTTTTCATTTTGAAATCAATAAATATTTATTTTTTTTACGAAAAAATTTATTTTTCCCTTATAAAAATACAAGTTTTTTAGCTTTCAAAATAAAAAATAGGGGTATACTTTTTTCGATATAGAGCAATCCTAAGCGGTGAGAGCATTTCAATTCCGACTTTACTGTTTTTGGACCACCCTAATGTACATGCATATGTACATGTCGTTACTTTAATATATACATAAGTAGAAAGGCCCTATCTCACATCGTGGCTGAAATATACTCATGAGTCGATATACTCACGAAACTATATAAAAATTTAGTAATATAGTAAAACTGCGTTTTTAATTTTTCACTCTGACGTCAGGATTTTTTTTTTCAAAGAACTTTAAAATTTTAAAGATATGATTAATTAAACAAATTATTTAAAAAAATCAGTGCAATGTAGAATATCAATATGGGTACCAAATGAAAGAGAAAATTCTGTAGAATTTAGAAACAATAACGTTGTTCGGTTTACATGTACATGTATTGAAAATGTGCTTTTAATAAATTTAATATTTTTATGAAAACAATGTTTGCAGGACGAAATTCGACGATGAGGTCGTGCGTAGTCACACAATAATTAAAAACAAAATATTGTAAAGTGCATTTTCCAAACCCATTCGTCGTTATGCACCAAAAAATTTATTCTGTTTTAATTCTACAGAATTTTTTGTTTTATATGATACCCTTATTGTTATCCTACAATTCACCGAATTTTTTAAATAATTTTTTTAAATAATCATATTTTTTAAATTTCAAAGTCCTTTTAAAAAAGTCCTGACGTCAAACAGAAGAACTAAGTACGCAGTTTTACTATAATTTACCCATAGTTTCGTGAATATATTAATTTTTTTGTGTGTAAAATTTACTGTCCTACGGTGTCATGATACATTTCATCGAATTTTAAGTCCCCACATCGTTATATGCAATAAACATTTTAGCTAGTTACGGCTTTTTGGCATTTCAGCGACGATGTGAGATTGGGGCCTTTCTATATTAAGGTAACGATATATGTATATCTACTTCTGCAGCTATCGAAATTCTCACCTCTACCTGTCTTCTTATATTTGGACCTTCTTCAATTCCCGTTCCCTGAACCTGGCTATCAGGCATTGCAATATCCAACGGTGTATGTACTTTTTTAATAAACGATTACCATAATGGGCCCTAAAATTTACTCTTCAACACATATTACGCGCGACATCTTTAACCGCGTCGTCATTCTCATCTCTAACTGCGATATTATCCTCATCGTCGTGGACTGCCATAGGCAAATCCACCTCTTGTGCATGCACCACAACGCTAAGCGCATTTTCATTCATATCACACTGTAAAACATATAAGTCACTATCACTAACTAAAATTTCTTTTAGGCTAATTAATACTACGTCACGATCTTCTTTCTCTTCTTCATCGCCATCTTCGGGGTCTAAAGCGACTCCGGCTTGTCGATACATCTCCGCTAATGCTTCTTCAACGCTCAATTCGCGCTCCAGTTTTTCTGGAACATTTTGGATTGTATTACTGGTGGCGCTAATTTCGAAGGAACTACCTAAGGCAATTTTACAAAGGTCACTTAGCTTTGGTATTCTGCTATTTATATCATCTTCAGTACGGTGAATTTTTGAATCATATTCTATGAAATTTTCTCTCTCAAGAAAGTCCAGCAGTATTTGTTTTAAACTCGGTACTCTATTCTCCTTGCTAGCTCCTAATGATGCATTAAAGAGATATTTGATTTGGGATTGAATTTCGCCTATTTCAAGGCCAGTCTCCAAATACTCCATTTCGCATAACTTATCACATCTTTCTAATCTGCTTGTCTCTACAAACACGTTCCCCACCTCATACCCCAAAGAGTCTTTTACATTCACAGGAGCTTCCAAATTTGATTCGTCATTAAATACAACACTTTCTTCTGCTTGCATCGGCTCGTTATCTTCCGTAGTCTTATATCCATCATGGTATTTTTTATCTTCCGAAACATTTGTATTAATGCTGGCATGTGCATACCTTTCATCTTCGTATACATTTTGGTCAGTCTTCTTAAGGCTGGTTTCCTCTTGCTCATGTTCATCACTACCCCTTCCTAATGTTTGTTTCAAGGTCTTGATATCATTTTCTGTTATAGTTCTGACCGGAACATCGTACCTTTTATCTCTGCTGTCATCTTGGGTATAAAAGTCTGCATCAATATGTTTTTCTTTTGCAATTGCTTGGAAATTATTACTCGACTCACTTTGCTTGACGTTGAGAAAGCTCCTTTTCTGATTCTTTCATTTCATTAGAATCGCTATATGTCGTCCTCGTATTACTTTTGGTATCTTCGTCAGAGGATAAGTAAGAAGATGACGAGGATAGTATTTTTAATTTGTAACCACAAGATGTTGCAGATGAATCGGAACTTCCCGACGAGTAGCAGTCTGGGGATTTATCATCAAAGTCAACTGACTTTTCAAAATAGTGTCTTGGTGATTCAGGAAAATATTCAACGAATTTTTTAGCTCTAAACATTTCAACACTATTTTCCATCTCATATACATCTAAATTTGTTAATCTTTCAGACTGTTGATCACATAATTCACAATTTCTAGTTATCCCTGGCGAATCCGCTCTTACCGATTGTTCGCTTTTTTCTATATTCATCTCGATCTGCGGATTTTTGACCCTCTCCGTATGTAAATGATCTTCGACGATTCGGTACACATTCTCTCCAGAACTGTTTAACCGAATCTTCTCATCTTTTGATGGGAAAACAATGTCCAATGTGGGTTCTCTATTCTCAAAGTTATGCATAGCCATTTCAACACTCGTATTGCTGGTTTTTTCAACTGTACAGCGACAAACCCAATTTCTATTGTTTTACTCTGTTCGGAATGTGCACATGATTTTTCTGTTTCATCTTCTGAGAGCTGTAATTTAGTTCGTTTGACTCGATTACCATTATCTGTATTGAAATTCGATGTTCCAGTTCTTTCTTCACCCACCTTTTCTGTTTCAAAAATTTGCTCCTTAAGTACTTCCATATTCTGTGAAGATGGAGGTATTTCATAAGGAGGCCCGTCAAGGACTTTTGTCGACTCAATAAAATTTTTATTTTCAACATCAAAAATTTCAGTTTTCTAGCTTTCTATTCTCTCTACAACAATATCTTTACTTGGCGCGTTTTCTGCAACAAAATGACGCAAAGAGTTAAGATACGTGCAATGTTCAGCCGTCTTAATTCCATACAGTAGTTGCTCATTAAGTGAGCTTTCAGCAAAAATATCAGCTGATTTTTTACATTCCTCATTATTTTCAATTACTTGTGCTTGGTTTGGGGGCGGAATATCTGATATTGCTTTCAACATTTCATTGGGAATTTCAATTTCCTTCTTTGGAGCTGTATTCATTATTTTAGGTTCAGTAATGTCTTTCTTAAAATTTGCTCTATTCAAGAGCTTAATCCGAAATATCTCGGAATTTATTAAACATATAGTCAAGCATTTTAGAGTTTTCGGATTAAAAAACTTAAATTGGTTTTCAGCTCTACTAGAAAATTGCTTTGTAACTTTCCTCTTGATTACAGGTAAAGGGCTCTCCGCCACTGGGGCAATGTGTTGTTGCATGAGGAGAGTTGAATCCAGCCGTTTACCTCTTATAATAAGGTGGCGCCGTAAAGACCGTAAAGTTCTTTGGTAGAATGAATATTTGCTTGGTTTCAGATGAATCTGCTTTCCTTTCCCCTTTCTACAGGGCTTTGTTGAGACCACAGCAAAATTTAAATCGCTATCTAAAATTTGCCCTTGATTTCGTAATTTATTACCACCTTCATATTTTATTAAATCCGAATATTTTCGTTTGTAGAATTTTGAAAAACTTTTAAGTTTATGTATTATATCAATATAAGTTTGGGGATTACGTTTTGCAAACGTTTTATTTATTCTATTTTGAAGAATAGTTCCGGAATCAGTCAGTTTGTTAGCCATATTAATTGTGCCAATATTGCTCTCATTTCTAACAGCAACTTTGAGGTCAAAATCGTTCCCTATTTTATTAATAAATGTCTTGTATTCTCATTATTACGCCATCCGTGCATGGAGGCGGTATATTATGGTTTTTTCGTGATAGTTGAACGCTTTTTATTTTAAGTTCATCAATCTCTTTTTCAACATCAAAATTATTATAGTGTATATCTTCGCTTTTAGATTTCATATTCATATCGACCTTGAAGACCTTTGCTGCGCTCGAAAAAGCTGGCGTTGAACTACTAGACCTTTCGATATCGATGATGATATCAGGCAAACTTATGCTTACATTTCGATTTGTCTCTACATCTGTTGATCTGCCTACATTAACGTCATCGTGCGTTTTGGAACGTATATTTGATGCTGAGGTATTTGATGGTTGTTGCGGTGTTCGACTTATTTCCTCGAAATCGAGGGTGATTGAGACTGGTGTATATGCCACACTTGGGAGTCCTGATACGCAAAGCATTTTATTTGATATCTTAGCAAGTTTCGTTTTGCCTTCTGTGCCAATTATCTGTCCATCGAAATGCGGTGTGTCAGACAACTTCCGCTCATCCGTGAATTCAAAATCTTCTTCATCTTCATTCCAAGTACTCAGAAAATCACGCAGACTAGAGTAAATCTTAGTTGTTGGCGTAAGTGGAGTGCCAGTCTTATCTGCACTCTCTTCCGCCGTCTTTTGGCTATATATGATTGCATTGCTGAGACGCATCCCACTCTCAAGTCGGAAGTTGCTTGCAGAGTTGCTCATATCTGTAGTCAAATGGTCGTTTATGTTCGTGAGCGTCGTTTCAGCTATAAAACAGTTCTCATCTACTATTTCTGGCGGCTTTCGAAAGTCAGTTAGTGAACTTTTCACTTGAGTGGACTGTATGTAGGGAGGTGGCAAATTTGGTAGCTGCTCAACACGTTGTACTAAACTTTCACACCGTTGTAGTAACGCCGGCACTTGAACTGGGCTAATGTAGGTATCATAAGCAGTCTGCATGTTGAGATCATTATAATAAACAGTTGAGATGTTACTATGTGGCGTAATATTTGGATTGAGCGGTTGATGTGAAACTACGGTAGCTGGTGTTATAGGGTTTTCATATTGCTGATTGTGGGTAACACCTACCGGGTAAGAATGATAATTTATATTTGTGGTCTCATAGGTAGGCGTCGTTCTAGCATAGATATCATTAGTATTGACCTTGGCTTTGGTACCATGTCCATAATCAAGCATTCCATACTTCCCTGCGGTATTGCTGTTGCTGTTTTCACTTGCGGTTTGCGTGTGTGAGCTGTATACATTAGGAAGAAGGTGAGGATGCTGTGCATTGCGCGGATAGTAACAATTCTGTTGCTGATATGGTTGTGAGCAACAACTTTGGCGATCAGTGACTGAAGCTGCAGAAGGTGGAAAGGGATGGTGATATGCGAGTGAAGGATGCGTAGGTGCTGGTGCTATAGCGGTGGGGACGCCGGTCGGAGGTAACGATGCGTGGTGCGAGTACGCGTGCAACAAACTATCGTTAAGTGCGGGTACAAGGTACGGTGTGGAATGAGGCGAATTCGGCCAGAAGGTATGACCAACCGCATTCGTTGTCATATACTGTAGGTGAGGATTGTAATAAGAATTGTACTTATCATATTTGTTGCTATATTTCTCAGGTGTGTAATATATATCACGACTGGGGGCGACAGCGGTATTCGGCGACACGTAGCTTGCATTCGTGGGTGGTATGGTGGCAGTTGGAATGGCGTTTGAATGCCCTGACGGGGAACGATAATTACCCTTACTATACTCCATACTCCAGTGCCATGACGAAGATGTTGATGTCTTATGATAGGTATCGTTCCGTATTTCAGACACATATTGTGGTGGTTCAGCGGACAGATTTGCGGGTTGTGTAGATGTGTAAAATGGTGACTGTGCAGCCGTAGTCACTACAGTGTACAGATATTTATCGAAATAAGTTGCGCCGACGTTGCTGCTGTTACTTGTAGTACCGATGTTGATACCAACTGCCATAGCTGTGTTGCCAAAAGGCACCCCTAGACGTTGCTGCGGTTCGCGCGCATTCGTGACCGCAGTCAGTGGATTCCTTTGCGACGAACTTCCACCGTACACAGCACCCTGGAACGTATTTCCACTGTAATTCTGTTGAAAATTTTGCGCGTACGGCGCTTCGTTTGTGGTCTCTAACGGTTTATCACTGTAATCGATATTGTATTTTGCCAACTTCGTGGATAATTTGTTTTTGTAGGGATCAAAATAAACCATGGAGCTACTTGTTTGCGACGGCTGCGGATAGAATGGCGTTGCGGTGGCCTGTGGTTTTACGTACGTGCTCGCCTCACTACTACGTTTCGAATTATACAGACCAGTCTCACTATTATAAATATGGTTGATGTTGCTGTTGGTAGTTTTGTTGTGATGCTGTGTCGCCGGTTGCATGGAAATTTTACTTGACTTTTCCAATTCCGTGTAGAATGCTGTCGGGTGCCGCATGCCTAAAAAATTGCGCTCGATATTGGTGGATTGTGGGTTGTCATTACCCGCCAAGAAGGCACAGGAGTCACAGGTACTTTTATGCTGGGGCGCAGAGGGCTGCAGCAATGGATCTGTCAATTGATATGAATGTGAGGGATGGTCCTGCTGTAGGTGTGAGTAATATTGTTGTAACTGTTGTTGCTGCTGCTGGAAAGTCTCATTGTTGTACGGCGTTACTGCAGCGATTGTGGCCACTGGTGTAGGTTCTACCATGCCCACAGGTGTGTTAGAGTGCGAATCCGAATAGCGGATGTGACTGTTATTGTTTCCAATCGATGTGGGATTGGTAGGGGTATTGGTAGCACTCGCGTAGCCACTACTGCTGTTGCTGCTCCCGCAACTAATTTTGTTGCTGGCAACGGTGCCCAGTGGCATTTCCTTAATAGATTTGACGGTAATTGCATCCATGTCAGCCTAATCCAGGTTTCCAGAAAACCGCAATTTTCGGTTTCTTATGAGCAAACTGTAAATAAAGTTAAAGCAGTATTCGTGAGTAAGCTAAATAAATGTATGCTTTGAGTAGCCTGAAAAGTATGAGTTTTAAAAACAAATCGTGCAAGCAAAATGGGTACGTGTCGAAGTTTACATTATAACTATTTAAAGTAATTATTAAACTAATTATCCGCATCATTAAAAATGCATACATGAAGTTTTAAATGTTATATTGCGTGTTGTTTTCCTTACTTTGGTTTATAAACTAAAAATGCGCATCCACTTTCACAGAAAGCCTTTAAACGAATATTGAAAAAATTAAACTTTTATAGTTACCTAGTGCCTGCGATATTTGTGTAGGTACGTATGTAGACAGATAATGCCGTCATTTAGTAAAATGTTCATTAAATATTAACGACTAACTGTCATTTTCGTTTGACCAGTTCTGTAGCAAAGCAGATATGAATCAGTGATGCCAACCGGGCAAGAATTCCCCGATTTTGGTGGAATTGGAATTTCTCGGAGGAATCGTGGAATGACTTTAAATTTTGGGGAATTCAATATACAAACGATTTTGATTACAACATTTCTATTGAGGATAAAATTGCATTTATAAATTAGAAATTGTGATAACAGATCTCTCATTTTGTAATCGCCTCGTGAAACCGTGTGGATATTAAAGAAATTGCAACAGCGCATAGCGACATTTTTCACTTTTTCCAGGTTTTCGTTTGACACTATCGTTTCGTTTTCGCCATCTTTCTCACCAGGCCATCGTATTAGCATTTTATATTATGTATAAACACGAAATGTAAAAAAGACTGGCCTTATTATATACTTATATCACAATTAATGATATTAGTTTTTTTTTTCAACAAAAAGTGGGCTTGAAGTGCCTTAAATATGAATGTGGCAAAACTCATTTTAGGGGAATTTCATCGAGAATAGGG